CCTGCACCTGCAGCGAAAGGGGGGAGTTTGGAGCCACCCTTCAAGGCGCTCTGGGGCCTGGCCCAACCCTGAGCAGGTCCCCAGCGGGACCCACCGATATCTCACCCCTGCCCTGCCTGGTGCCACTTCCCCTTTCCCCTCTGGAGACGCCAGACTGATTGCTCAGCTCCCTCCCCGGCCAGATCGGCTGCCGGAGCCGCGGCTGCAGGATGCGCTCTAAGGTAATTGCACCTTCTCCTGCCGACGGGAGTGGAGGCTAGTGATTAGAGTGGGGGGCTGGGAGCCAGGACTCCTGGGTTCTTTTCCCAGCTCCAAGCAATCCCATTGTGCCGAGTGCCCTCCAGACACACTGAGAGACAGTCCCTGCCCTCTTGGGCTCCCAGGCTAACCCAGCCCCTTGGGGTGCTCCGGGGCAGAGAACCGTGGGGCTCAGGAGAAACATTCTATCAGGGGGCAGCGCACTTCATAGCGGGTGTTGGCAGAGCTCCCCCCATCCCCCACAGCTCCCTGTGTGCCCCCCTTCCACCTCCTCTAGGTCAGACTCCCTGAAACCTCTTTCCGCTTAGCAGGGGCTCTCTGTGCCCCCGATCACCTCTGCACCAGGGCCCCCAATCTAACCCCCAGGCCAGGGGTCCTCTGGGTCCCCCATTACCACCTCCCCCATAGCAGCTCCCCCCATGCCAGGGGCTCAGTCTGTGCCCCCTCCCCATTGGGACACTGGGCAGAGCTGAGCTGGCAGTGGGGTGGGGCTGGAAGGAGTTAATGGTGCCACCAGCCGGTTCTCAGATCTACCGTCAGTTTCAGAGCTGGCTGGAGCTGTGGCTGCTCTGACCAGATGTGGGGAGCTCTGTGTGTCCCCCATTTTCCCCCATCTGGTTGGTCGATTGCCCCCCCCCCGAATCAATATGTCTCTGCTCCTGGGAGCCGCCAACTTTCCCTGGCACTAGGGGGCGCTGTGCTGCAGGAATCAGGATAGGGACGCTAGGGGGCGTTGTGGTGCGGGGGGGTGGGGTGGAGGTGCTGGGGGGCACTGCGCTCTGCAGGGGGCAGGTTGGAGGCACTAGGGGGCGCTGTGCTGCAGGAGGGAGTGGGGAGGCACTAAGGGGCGTTGCGCTGCAGGGGGCAGGGTGGAGGCACTAGGGGGCGCTGTGCTGCAGGAGGGAGGGGGGAGCACTAAGGGGCGTTGCGCTGCAGGGGGCAGGTTGGAGGCACTAGGGGGCGCTGTGCTGCAGGGGGCAGGGCGGGGCACTCAATGCGAGTGAAACCCTGAGGCTGCTCTCCGGGGTCCTCCCCGTCACCTTGGTTTGCTCAACGCCCAGAGGAAGTGGCAGCGTCTCTGCAACAAAACACCCCGGCCGAGGCCCAGCCAGTGACCCTTGACGCGGGGGAAACAGCTGCTCTGATGTCCTGTGCTGTTGGGGAGCGGGGGAGGGGGCGTTCTCAGGGCTTTTCATCCCCCGTCCCCTAAGTGGGGGATCAGACGTGAGGAGCAGCCGGGGCTTTTGACTCTGGACTGTGCCATGCCCGGCCTGCGGCGATGCACAGAGCCTGACAGCTGCTGCACAGCTGGGGAAACTGAGGCACGGGGGTGAATGAAATACCCTCATACACAAGTGGGCTCAGAGTTCTGGGCTCTTCTGCTGCTCTAACCACTAGACTCTGCTCCCCACCCAGGACCAGGGATAGAACCCAGGAGTCCTGGCTTCCAGCCCCCACCCCGTAACTGATTAGAGGCTCCCGGTGTGAGCTCCCAGAGGGTGTGGGTGGGGTTATACCAAGCCCTGTAATAACAGAACCCTGCCCAGCGGGGTGTGTAACGGTTCCCCTGCGTTTAGCTGCCTTCCCTGTGTAAATGTGACGCCCTTTGCACCACGCCATGCGCGACAAACCCATCCGGCAGCTATTTCTTCTGCCTTTTGGCAGGGCTAGTTAGTCAGAGCAGGGGGACTGGGAGCCAGGACGCCTGGGTTCTCTCCCAGCCCTGGGAGGAGAGCGGGGTCTAGTGGTTAGAGCGGGTAGCGGGTTCCCTGCAGTCTCCCCTCAAGCGGGTCTCTCTCCGCTACGGGTGTCTGATGTTGCTCTGGGTCATTGCAGGAACCGACCAGCCCTTCGCTCTTTCCTCTGCTCCCCGGCGCCGCGGCTGCCCAGGGGTCACCATGAGGCGTCTCGTCTGGCTGCTGTTCCTCCCGGGTAAGGCCCCTTCCCCTCGCCCTCAAGGTCTGGCTGCTTCAGACCCACAGAGCCCTGGGGGCCGGGGAGAAGGGAGGAGAGACCCGGCCCGGGGGTCACAAGCTCAGAGGGAGGTTTTCCTCTGTGAGATTTACTCCACTTGCATCAGACTAATGTGATCCAGGGATTAGCGGTGGGGGGTGGGCTGGGATTCAGGACTCCTAGGTTCTATCCCAGCTCTGGGAGGGGAGTGGAATCTAGTGGTTTAGAGGTGGGAATCAGGAATCGTGGGTTCTTCCCAGTGTGCTGATGGGGAAACTGAGGCACAGAGCCACACCATGAGCTGAACAGGGAGTTTAGTGCTGGGAATCAAACCCCGATCTCCTGAGTCCCAGTTCGGCACCAGAAGCGCCCGGCCAGCCTGCCCCTCGCTCCCATCTCTGTCACTCTGCTGCTTCCAGGCTTCCTCTGTCAATGTGACCCACCTGTCGAGGTCCCCGAGTCCCTGATCGCTTGGACGGGGGCCTGTCTGTCCATCCCGTGCCTCTATCGATCCTGTGTCCTGAACCCCATAAGGACAAAGAAATTGACCATCAACTCCCTGACCTGGTACCTGAACCCTGTGTATGACGTTGAGAAGAAAGATTTCAGTGGTACCGTCCTGTATAAACACAGCGCCTCCATCAGCCTGGCCGTCACAGAGCGTGTGAGGTTCCTGGGGGACCTGGAGAGAGACTGCAGCCTGCAGCTGTCTGACCTGCGGGCCAGCGAGAACGGTTCGTACGGGCTGAGACTGATCGTCTCGAGCACCGGGCAGAAACCGGAGGAGAGGAAGTGGATGACTAAGATCAGTGTGAACGTGATGGGTAAGAGGGAAAGTCCTGGGCTTCCTTGTAGGAACAGATTAAAGACTCATAGCCCACCCCACCCCACCCCCTGCTCTAACCACTCGACCCCACTCCCCTCCCAGAGCTGGGAGAGAACCCAGGAGTCCTGGCTCCCAGCCCCCCCAAACACTAGACCCCACTCTGGTAGCAGCCATCCCTGGGGACACAGCTCAATGTGCCTGGGATGACATCCAGGCCAGCTGTTCCTATTTTCTCCACCTCTGTTCCATCCCTTTAATGAGGTAACGACTCTCACTAAAGTCTGGGGCTACAGCCAGCCTTGAACTCCCCGTCTGCACGAGAACAGCACCGACCTCTGCCAGTCGAGCTAAAGGAGATGGGTCCTTACCTAGCAGAAGCAGTAGGTTGTTATCCTCCGTGCTGCTCAGCAGAGCCTCCAGCAAAACGGAACAACAGTTTGGATAGAAAACTTCAAAGTTGTTTCCGTTTTACGATGTTTTTCCAAATTTCTCCTGAAATATTTTACTCACAAACTTTCCCCACCTGAAAATCAGGGAGAATAATCCTTTGCCTATTTCCATTGTGGTCTCTTTGGGGCAGGGACTGTCTCTCGCTGTGTCTGGGCAGCGCCCGGCACAACAGGGTCCTGATGTCACCTGGGGCAAGGACTCTACCTAATGCAGTAGGAAGAGAGCCTGAGATGTGAGCCCTTGTATCAGAGGCCTAGTATGAGGCAGGCCCTGCTCACAGAATGTGGCAAGCACAGGGCTGATCTTGCAGAAATACACATTGCTAAGAAGTGCTAGGCACCGAGCACTCCCGCAAACACAGCCCGATATGAAGTGGTACCAAGAAAAGTACAAAAACCTTCCCCCAGGATAACGGGAACACACTGACCCCTCCTAACAGATAAGATCAGGCTGACAGTACAGAACTTGTTTATAGCAGGGTATAAAGATGTACCCAAGACTTTGTCTACACTAGGCACCTTTCAGCGACACAGTTGTGCCGCTACAGCCCTGCCGCTAAGGGGCGCGCAGTGTAGCTGCTGTTTGTCGGCAGGAGAGAGCTCTCCCGCCGACAAAAAAATTCCACCCCCAGTGAGCGGCAGCAGCTTTGTCGGCGGGATAGCACTCCTGCCCACAAAGCACTGTTCACACCACCACTTTTCGTCGGTAAAACTTTTGTTGTTCAGGGCGTGTGTGTTTTTTAACATCCCGGAATGACAAAAGTTTTGCCGACGAAGTTCCAGTGTAGACACAGCCTCAGAGGGAGACTCTTTGGCCAGCCGAGGGGGCAGTGGAAAGTCCTGCCATGGACTGAGCTGCGTCCATTGTCACGGGCAGACATGTCTTAGTGTCCTCGTAGAGTCTGCTGGGTGCTACTATCATGCTTTGTCGCCAATAAACCTGGTCCGGTGCCTTCGTACCTTAACGGATCTTGTGGTCATTGGGCGGTTCACTCGAGGTGTCTACGCAGAGCTGGGGCAGCACACAGAGAACACACACACGCAGCCGAACATCTAACACCACCTAATAATAAAGTGTTCTCCTTAATAACTTTCCCCTTTGTCCCCCTGATACAGATTCACTTCCAGCTCCTCAAATCCAAGCACCCAGCGAGCTCAGGGAGTCAATCACGGCCCAGGCAGTTTGCTCCGTAGCCTATCACTGCCCCAACTACCCCATAACCCTGACGTGGGTCGGTTTGGGGCATAGGACCCCTGAGCCCACCATGAGGACGGGGAGCGGAAGGACTGAGAGCACACTGACTTTCACACCCACCTGGCAGGACCATGGGACAAATTTAACCTGCCGGCTCAGCACCCCGGCTGGGACACCGAGCTCCGAGAGCAGCGTGGTGCTGGACGTGAAATGTGAGTGGGGGGATTTGAACTGGGCGCCCCTGGGTCTGACAGCACCAGCCCCACCAGCAGCTCTGGCACTGACACATAAAGCGCTGTACGGGCTGCAGTTCTTGGAGGGCACCGGGAGGTGGACTGGGGTCCAGGTGGGTGGAAGCAGATTGGCCAATGGGGCGGGAGCTGGCAGTATTTTGAAGGAAGAGTGGGGCTGTACCACTGGGCAGGGATGGGCATGAGGGTCAGAGCCAGCGCCCCCTAGAGGGGAAAGGCCCAATGCCCCATTCCCCATCCCCCTGAGCCAGCCAGTCCCCTGCCCTGGATGGGAGCTGGCGCCTCCTAGAGGGGAAAGGCCCAGTGTCCCATTCCCTGCCCCATGTCTGGACAGTGTCCATATCTCAGCTGTTCACCTGCGTGTTGGTTTGCTCCAGATGCCCTTAAGGGAGTCCAGTTGAACGCGACACCCGGAGAGACTATCCAAGAGGGGGACAGACTCGTGCTGATGTGCATGACCCAGGGCAGCAACCCCCCCGTCTCCACGTACACCTGGTATAAGGACACACAGTGGCTGCACCAGGGGCAGGAGCAGAGGCTGGAGTTTGAAGCCAAGGGGGATGAGCATTCCGGCTCCTATCGCTGCCAAGTCACCAATGAAATACAGACGGTCCGATCCCCAGCGCTGCGGATAGACGTCCAGTGTGAGTGTGGGGGCTGGGGCCAGACGGGAAGGCAGGGTCTGTGGAACTGCCCGAGACTAGATACCTCTGCTGAGCATAAGGAGAGGATGTTATTGTACTTCCCTAGACACTTGTGATGTGGCCATAAGAGGAGGTGAAATAGGCAGGGCTTGTCACATCGGAAAAGACAGGAACTGAAGTTAAAGGGGAATCTCCATTCACTCTTAGCAGTACAAGGCCTCTGACACACAGCATGACAGTTTGGGTTCCAGCCAGCAGAGGGCAATGTGCCTAATCTCTCTCACACAGAGGCGGATCTGACCCATTCCCTCCAGCAGGGGGAGGGCTTACACGCACAGAGCAGGATTCAACCTCTCCAGCATGGGGCAGCAGGGAGTTGTGAACACACACACACACACACACAAGACGAACATACCACAAACACTGGAACAATTTATTTTATTGCACTCAGGGGCAAAAAGGAGAAAAACGGAAAATTTGTCATTTCAAAAATGTGACATTCCCCCTGCCCCCCAAATCGGCCCATTTTGAAGCAGAAGCGACTCGGCTGTTTTAAACGTTTGAAAGTTTTTTCAACCCGTCACCTCTCGGGAGAGCCAGAGAGCGTCTTGCGCCTGAATGAATTTGGCGGGTCACGCTTGGTCCCTGGCACACGCAGAAAACAACGTGTGATGCAAAAGGAACATTCGCTTTTGGGGTGAAATGTCCCAGATTGTGCTAAAAAACCCACAGACCAAAAAGCACCTTCCCTCCCCCCGCCCCCGCAGCATTTGGAGACAGACAGAAATTGCCACAGACGGATAATTCGTTTCACTGGACAATTGGTTTGGTTTTGTGGGGTGGGGGCGGGGGGGCGGCCCGTTGAAAATCCAAACATATTTTTAGTTTTTTGTTTTTGATAAAAATCCCCAAAATATATTTAGGGTTTTGAACTTTTCCTGAGACCGGGTGATGGGGTTCACTCGCTAGAGTGGCGCCTCCTGCTGGCCGTCTGGGGGATTAGTCCCCTCCTGGTGGTGTGTCGCCGTCATCGTCACCACCTGCAGACCTGCTGCGCCTCTAACCTCTGTCTCTGCTGCTTGAGTTCCCTGGACCACTTCCCCGTGGCCCCAGCATCTCCTTCGCCCTCTTCTCAGGGCCTCCCAACCTGCTAGGAACCCCGTCCTCTCTCCTTGGGCACCCTGCAGACACTGGCTGCCTCTGCAG